GAATATTGGCTACCAAATTATCACCATTAGACTTGGAAAATTCGAAACTGGGTTATGCAGATCAGAAAGAATTCGAAGTTCTGAATATTGATACTTTGGCAGATACAGATTGGAGAAGTCCCATAGTAAATTATCTAAAAGAACCTTCAGTAAGTGCAGAGAAAAAGACCAAATATAGGGCATTGTCTTATGTCCTAATAGGAAATGAACTTTTTAAGAAAACCCCAGAAGGTATATTACTCAAGTGTTTAGGAGAAAATGAAGCATATTTAGCAGTATCCAGTGTGCACAGTGGGGCATGTGGGGCATATCAAGCAGATCACAAAATGAAATGGTTGTTGTTTCGATATGGAATGTATTGGCCCAATATGCTCAAAGACTGCATAGAATTTGCTAAAGGTTGCGAACAATTCCAAGTTCATGCAGGTATTCAACATGCTCCTGCAAGTGAGTTACATTCGATTGTTAAGCCTTGGCCTTTTAGAGGATGGGCATTAGATCTAATTGGTGAAATTCGACCAGCATCATCCAAAGGACAGAAATATATCCTTGTGGGTATAAATTATTTTTCAAAATGGGTCGAAGCAATTCCTCTAGTGAACGTTGATCAAGAGGTCATTATGGAATTTATCCAGAAGCAAGTAATTTACAGGTTCGGAATACCAGAAAGTATTACAACAGATCAAGGTTCAGTTTTCACAAGGCGAAAAATGCAAGAGTTTGCAAAAGAAATGGGATTTAAATTACTCACGTCAACTCCTTACTATGCTCAAGCTAATGGACAAGTAGAAGCAACCAATAAAGTCATTATAGGTTTGATAAAGAAACATGTAGGACGAAAGCCAAGAAATTGGCACACAACTTTGGACCAAGCTTTGTGGGCATGTCGAACATCTCCTAAAGAAGCAACAAATACTACACCGTTTCGACTTACCTTTGGACATGATGCAGTGTTGCCAGTCGAAATACACTTACAATCAGTAAGAATCCAAAGACAAAATGAAATACCAACTGATCAATATTGGGAAATGATGATGAATGAATTAGTGGACGTGGATGAAGATAGGCTACATGCTTTAGAAGTTATGAGAAGACAGAAAGAAAGAGTAGCCAGAGCATACAACAAAAGAGTTAAAAGTAAGTTGTTCTCAACCAATGACCTGGTATGGAAGGTTATATTACCTATGGATAAAAAGAACATATTGTTAGGTAAATGGTCACCCCATTGGGAGGGTCCCTTTCGAGTATTGAAAACATTTTCGAATAATGCTTACGAAATAGAAGAATTAGCAGAAGATAGAAGAATCTTGAGGGTAAATGGGAAATACTTAAAAAGGTATAAACCATGCTTGCAAGAGGTTAGAACCACTGCAGGATAATGCATGAGTTTTTTATACTCTCGAAATAGCCTGGATGAGTCAAAAAACAAGTATTTCTTTATATCTGTCGAAATACATGTTCTTGGGGGGCAATTTGTTAGATGGCTATTTCGAATAAGGAAGAAATCACTATCAAAATAATATTTCGAATGAAGCACCTAAGGAGATTTAATATCAATATTGGATATTGGTAGGAGATATGGAGTCATTATGTTGAAGCATTATTCAATTCCAGCAGATTTCGATTTGTATTTTTTTAGTGTTCGAATTGTAAAGAGCTCCTTTATGCAAGGGTGCAACGGTCCAAGTAATTGGGTTATTTCGAAAGCAACGAAGAAGCAAGATGCTTCGATTGGTACAGATTTCGCAAGATGCTTCGATTGGTACAAATTTCGAATTTCAAATAAAGAGCGTCATTCTAGAAGAAACATGGAAGTCAGCGAACATAGGAAGCCTGCATGCTTCGAACGTGGCGTGATTTTAGAATAGGGCCGTTAGGGTCAAAACACTATAAATAGGTGTTCTTATGTTAGATTTAAGGATGTTCATTTTTATGTACTAAAAGATCTCAAAATACTCATACTTCCGTGAATTAAGGAAAACGAGTCAGAAGATACAATGTACGTCTTGAACATCATTATTTTTTTACAGTTTTAATACAAGTCCTGTTATATTTAGTTCACCTTTACAGCATTTCCTTGTCTTTAAATACTTCGATTTCCATGCATTACAGTATTTCCTTGCCCTTTAAATCCTTCGATTACAGCATTTATGTCCTTAAATACTTTGATTTCCTTGCATTTCCTTGTTTTACTTTCTAATTCAAAGCCTTTACTTGTCTTTAAACACAGTCATTTCATTAGACAGTATTTTTACCCTTAAATCCTTCGATTTGATTTTACTTTATCCTTTTAGTCAAACACTTATCTTCACATTCAAGCCATTTTATAATTATCTTTACATTCAAGCCCAAGTCTAATTCGAAGCCTTTCCTGCCTACATTCAGTTAGTTTATTCCTATAGACCATTTTAGAAATCTTTCCTAATATGAACATAAAAATAAGTTATGACACATGTGTTCTAGGATCAATTTAGTCGATCCTGCAAGTAACCGATAATAATTAGTAAAATTGGAAGACTAGTGGTTGTTTACTAGAAATCACTGTAAACACATGTCATCGCGTAAGTCAAACTCTTCTTCATTTTTAAAATGGTTCTTAATATCTACCACCTTAATTACGAGAGGTGAAACAACTTAAGACACATTAGATTTGGGAATAAAATCGAGATGCACCATACCTAATATGATAAAAAAAATATTAAACTAATAAACATACACAACAAGGAATAAGTTTCTGAAAAATACGCACAAACAGAAACCAGAATTACATTTCTGGTTAAGTTCAACTAACAACCAAAAATATAAATTTGGTATTAGCGAACCTTTTTCAATTGAAAATCATATTGATGTAAAGAATGAGGATTGAAATGAATAAATTTTACTTTAAATTCTACTTCCTTGAGCTACTTTTGATATGATGAACAACAAAAATGAAGATTTGGAGTGAAAAACTTGATTGAGAATGAAAGGGTTTTTGGAGAGTGTTTATGGAAAGTTTAAGAAATGAGAGTGATCATGCTTGTCCATGTTGGTTACTGTTTTAAGCAATATAACTTTTGATTTTTTCGGAAATATATTTCCGATTTTATATAAAATATTAAGGTGGTGAAATTCTCGATCTTCCCGTACTAATTAACTGGAAATAAAAAACCGATTACAACTGGAAATATATCCCCGATTCTGTTTTGTGTTTAGAATAGGGTGAAACCATTTTTGATCTCATGATAGGTGCGTATCGAAAATACATTTCTGATTTTTTCATAGGCATTTTCGAAATTGCATAGAGTATTTTTCAACCGTACAGAATATAGGTATGAAACTCTCTAGAAATATACATACATGCAAATGCACATTGACTCTTTCTCCTTCCTATAACACGAATACACTTTGATTCAAATTAATTCAAACTGTTAGCTTGTCAAAAGATTAAGGCTCCACAAGAAATTCCTCCAAAGACATTGTTTTGAAAGGCATCCAAAGTCATTTAATGGAACTAGTCTGTGTTATGATATATCAGCTCTGAAGTATGGATATTTCTAAAATGATAAAATACTGGTATCAAATATGCATCTGTACTAGATACTCGAACTATACTCGTGGTACTTCTTTTTTTTCATTATGCAATTTTAAGTGGAATTTGTAATTTCTTCATATATCAATGTAATATGTTTATGTATTTTAAGTTCTTTATTATTGAATCTTATTTTTAACGCTATTTTTTATTTTATTTAAAAGTTTTATATTGATGTTTTCGTGTAAATTGAACAATTTAGTTTTATATTTATATATTTTATAAAAAAAAACTTTTATTTTGTACTAACATATTTGTACCTTGATTTTTTTATAAATATTATATCTTGTATCAGTATCCGTATCAGAAACCATACTCTACCTATGCATCATACTATATTAGTGATCATTTTTAAGACAGTCCTATGAGTTGTTAATGTTTGGGGGAGATTATTATGAGCATTGATGTGCAGTGTAGGAACAATCACCTTTTTGTGAGAGACACACCACTATGCATCAATGCTCCTAATAATCTCCCCCCAACATGGTATCAGAGTTTGATTGTCTTTCTTGAATTCCAAGCAATTGGTGCACCACCTAGCATAAACATATATCCTGCTGTTGACTTTCGATCTTCAGCATCACTACACCAACTCGAATCAGTGTATCACACTAACTTGCATTCTTTTCCTTTATCAGCAGCGGGAAACAAAATGCCATAATCGAAAGTTCCTTTGAGATAGTTTAGTATCCTTTTTACTGCTGCTAGATGTGATACCTTTGGCTTCTGCATGAATCTACTTACCATATCTACACTGTATGTTAAGTCAAGCCTTGTATGACAAATATATCTTAATGATCCAATAAATCTTCTGTATTGGGAAGAAATATTAGAAGCATTGATGCATAGTGTAGAAACAAATATTTTTTTGTGAAAGACACACCACTTCTCCCTCCAACAGTTAATTAATGATAAATTTGCCTTAAAAAAAGTTGCCGACTCACTTCATTCAACTAAGCGTTGTTTCACAACTTTGAGGAGGGTAACACATCTTATAAGGTATTACAAAGTTCATATTTCTGTTTACAGCTAGTTATATGAAGTGGTTATCAAGTTCATAACAACACCTTCGGTAACAATTTGCTATTGAATCATTTCAAAATTAAAATCTACAAGTTCACCATTGACTTGAACACATAATCAATCTCTTATATATCTTGAATAAATAGTTAATTGAATAGTAAGATCATAACAGTAACGCCACGAAAGGCCAAAAAAAAAAATTACAATCTTGCAAGAAAATTGTCATTCGAAAGGAAAAAAGGGCACGAAGTAGTTATATGACAGATGCGATTCAATGATATATCTTCCTGCAAAGGAAAGAGAACCTTGGATATTTACAAATGCTAGACAAACCTCATGATCATTCGCAACACTACTTTTCACTTTCTTTTCTTTTCACAAAATACACTTCAAACTTTCCGACAAATCATTTTCTTCCCCAAGCAAAGCAGCAACACTGGAGAAGCAAATAGTACAAAGATAATCATGATCTCTAGTTCGGTTTTTAAAACATTGAGTTAAACAAGAACTACAGGCATACCTGGACTTTTCCATTGGAAGGTTGGTTGCGGATAACATGTGGCCTCTCATTAGGTGTGCCGGGTGCATGTCCGGGCCCACCCTGTCTCTCTGCCCTCACCTTGTTGAAAACTTGAGTATAGCGCTCAGCTGATGCAGGGTTACCCACATCCCACTCACCGAATTTTGGAACAGCCGCGCCTTTCTCAGGCTGCAACATCACAATGCTAAAATCAGAACATATTTGCAATAGAAAATCTCAAAAGATCCAAGATACAATTAATGTATGTGCACTTCATGCAGGGTTGTCTTAAGTTTTCAGAGGTTATGTGTAGGTTACTGACGGCTTTAGTGTGGCAAATTAAATAGAAGCCCTATTTTGTCATTGTTTAACTCTGACAAATATATTTATAAGGCATTTTTTAGCCATAGTTTAAAAAAATTTAGGCCATTTGTGGTTACCCGCCTCGCACACCTTCAAAGATGGCTTTGACTTTATGTCATGCATGGAAATAAAATAGGATAGCAGAAAAGAAAACTAACAGTTTCGTCCCCTCGATTAACTGGTCTTAGCCGAGATCTCCCTGGTGTACCATGGCTGTTGTCGTAAGAATTCTTTGTTTCCAACGAGGGGTTGTCTTTTCCCGGAGCTCTAGCCTGACGATGAAGGGGTGATCGTTCAACGCTGTACTCAGACCCAGCAGTACTTTGTCTTGAAGGTCTTCGGCGGTTATCAGCAGAACCTACTCCAAGACGAGGTGTAGAGTCATTGGAACTCCGATTGCCTACATTGTCATGACGAGCTGGAGAGTCAGCATATTGCTTAGGATCACCATCTTCGAGACTCTTACGTGTCTCAATTGTTGCTCGCGCTGATCCCTTTCCGTATAGATCCTCTGATTCGACCCTAGGTTTGGATTTGGACGGAGGTGGTTGTTCAGATGATGAATTATCAAAAACTAAATCAGGATTTTCCTCCGGGTCATTTGGGTTTATCATCTTTGAGCCAGTTCGACCTTTCCGAGCTTTGTCAAAATATGCCGTATAAGGAACATTGTCACTACCCTCCCAATTGCCAAATTTTGGTACATGATTACGTTGCTGCCAAATTGACACATTGAAAAGATTCTGTTAAGTAGTTTTCAATACAAGTAAAAACCAGATTGCAATGCGCAACATATTACAAAATTGCTTCCAAAGTTAATCTACAAATCTTATTATCAAAAGAATATGCAAGTATACCAACTTATGACGTGATGATCCTAATCTGTATTATGCATTTGTGCATGACTATACTTAATAAAACTCTTTAAATAAAACCATGCCACAAGGTGCGTGTTAGCAAAATTACTGGTTTGAGACTGAAGCGGATAAGGGGAGAGAGTTGTCATCACCCTACAAACCGATTTTATAGGATTGAGTTAGGCTCAATCACATATTCTTAACATGATATCAAAAGCCTCGTTTAAGATCTGATGGGGCACTAGCTATCGGGCCACCCATCATTTATTTGCACGCTCCAGATGTCCAATCTTAGACGTGAAGGGGGTGTGTTGTCCGACATCGGACATTATATGACTTGAACATGTGCTTATAAGTGGGGACAATTCTGACCCTACAAAACAGTTCTGTAGGGTTGACTTAGACTCAACCACACATTCTTAATAGAGTTTGCTCGATTAGGACTTACCAATGACCATCTATAAGCCTATAAGGACTTTTCAATAAGATAAGAACCAGAAACTTATTTTAACTAAGAATCTCCTACAAGTAACTAGGCCATAGTTATCTGAATAATATTGTTGCATGCATTGATTGTTGAATGCTAGTTTTAATAGCTGATTAACTTAACATTCCAGATTCTTGCTTTCAAACCTAAATGGTTCGGGGTGAGGAACATGATGGAACCATAATGAGACAATTTTTGTTATAGATATTGTTGGAGTTCTACATTGTCAAGATTTTCATGCAGATGAATGTATATATATATGGTTAAGCAACCTCATCTTATGAACTAGTTTTTGAGAGTGAAATCTAAACCTATTTAAGATGGTATCAGAGTCGTATTAAGGATCACATTGTAAGAATTAAAACCAGGATCGTCCTAAAAGAGACGAAAAGACCAAAGTAGCATTTTGTTTTGACAAATTTTGATCCAAGTATTTATCAGGCTAAGCTAAACTAGAAACTCAACATGATTTATACTATGAAATTGGCATATTAATAAAAACCTAGAAAACTAACACAATATGACTTTAATTTTAATTGAATTGCTTCATATTTTTTTAAACGAAATGGTAATAATTAATAGAAACTCACACAACCATGAGTATCAGGTTGAATCCTGGTGATGACCATTTAACCTAACAATATCGATTTCTGTCAGTTAAATTATGATTTGCAGAAGAATTGCTTCATGATTCTAAGAAACCAAAAAAAGTAAGTTGACCAAAAGAAATTAAAGTCTAATTTTGGTCAACTATTTTAAAGCAATAGAAGATGAAAATAAACCTTACATGAAAACAAAAATATATATACAGAAGATGAACAGACACAATTTTCTTAGCAATCATAGACATATAGAACAAGACACATAACTAAAGCATGAAAACAACAAAATATACAAAAGAGAATGAAAAAAAAAAACGTACTGCCATTTCCTTTGTAGGTTGAAAAGGCACCAAGAACTTGAAAAGCAAAATTCTCCAAAAAGAAATTTTAAAAAATAGAGCTTTTTTTGGATCAATTTGAGTAGAAGAAAAACTGAGAGAACCCAAGAAGCTCCTCCACAAAATTAAATGACCAAGCAAGAGAGAGAAGTTTAGAAAGAGGTTTATCAACCGTTGACCGGCGCCACCGGTAATGTTTGACTATTATTTTTTTTGTGTCTGTAATTTCTATGTCAAAGTCATGCAGAGCAAATAAGTTTTATTATATTAATAATAAATAAAAAAAGACTAATTATATTTTTAAATTTTAGAACGAATAGTAATTTCTCTTATAGAAACTGAGAATGCCTAATTGTATAAAGTAGAGTTGGATTCGAACTCAGATTTCTGATTAAACATCTCTCTTATTAATTTATTCATTTGAGTTTTTTAAATGAGTTATACTTAATATTTTATATTATTTTACTCTTCTTAATTATTTAAACAATTTAACTATATTTTTCAAATATACATCTAACCTCTCAAAAACTTAAAAATAGGCCCCACCATATCATAATATATAACACATCTATATTAATATTGCTTATTTAAAAAGAAAAAAAGAAATTAAAGAAAAAAAGGAAATAGTTTGTTTGTAGAACCTGTTTACTGCCACAACGCTTGTAAACTTAAGAACCACTTTTCCATTTAATTATCCATTGAACTCTGACAAAGTAGTTTAAAAATCTGTATAGAAACCTTCAAACTTGACCCATATTTATGCTCTAATGTATATTGGCTTGGTTTTTTTTGTAGTATATTTTTTATAAAAATGCATGGTTGATTTTTAATAATTGTTTTGTATAGTTGAATAATACTCCATGTGAACGTTTTTGGTGGTTGGATATTTATGGCAACGTCATATTTAAAAATGACGTAAGTAATGATAAAAATTCATTAATAATTAAAAATAAAAATGCGTGGCATGTTCAAGCTCTTGGACAGTTTCAGTGCCATCAATCACTATCAAGTACGTGTAGAGTATTTATTTTTCTGTACAAAAAGTACATACTAATAGTGTATAGGGATTAGATATTAATTGAAAATAAAAAATTATTGGAACACAGCGGTTGTTTTTATATCTACGAAGTAAGAAAAATTTATGCCGTTGTATTTTCAATTCCGCCCTTGTGTTTTCTAAGCCTTACGCGTGTAATGTTTCATAGTTCTTCTTTCTTCTTTTAATTATTATACTAGTCGATAACCCGTGCTGTCGCACGGGGCCGGTCGAGAATTCATAAAACGTGGAACTAATGTTGTCATGTAACAGTAAAATCGTTTTTATGAAATTCAATAAAAGTTTATCTAATTCGGCCAAATTTAGTGTATCAAACTTATTTGACAACATTAAAAAATGTAAACTGAAATCATGATTGTGTAACAATATAAGAAACTGTGATGACTCTTCAAAATAAGAAACTATCATGAGTGTTCAGATACAACGCAACCAGCTTGGAAACGATGTTTTCAACTTTATCACCTGCACAATATATGATGCAAAAATTAGACAGCATTTACGAAAACAATTTATATTAAAGAAATTATTTGTTATTATGTACTTACCGATCAACAAAGAGATTGGAAAACTTCTTTGTATACAACATTTATAGTGATAGATGTTGATACATTCATACTATCATGTATTAAGATCTTTAGACCACTTTTGCTTGTAACTCTTGAAATGGCTACATACAACTGGCCATGACTGAATACAGGAGTAGGCAAATACAATCCAACTGTATCAAGTGATTGGCCTTGAGACTTATTAATTGTCATTGCGTACGACACAATAATTGGGAACTGTCTCCTAATCAACTTAAATGGCCACGGTGACTCGGAAGGTGACATAGACATTCGAGGGATGAAAAAGATGTTACCAACATTCTTACCAGACATGATCTTTGCCTCAATAACGTGATTTGCCAACCTTGTAACAATTAGTCTTGTTCCGTTACACAAACCATCGTTTTGGTCCAAATTCCTCATAAGCATTATTGGTGTACCAACCTTTAATCTGAGTTTGTGATTTGGGACACCTGAAGTCCTAAGCTTGCTAAGAAATTCTGGAGTAAGACATTCATAGGCTTCGGTGTAACTTGAATCAGTTCTATCAATCGAATCAAAACTCAAATACTCTTTGTCCTCACCTAAGAAATGGGAAAACGCGAATCAATCCATAATGTTTTTTCAAGATTTATTTAATAACGAAACATCTACACGAAAAGAAACATCAAAAGAAAAAAGAGTTTACCCGGTATCATGTCTAACACGTAATGATTAATTTTATCAACAACTTCAATGGTTGAAGCAAGTATTGCTTTTCCTTGTAGAAATTCTACATTTTGAAAGTAGGCAAGCAAATTTGGGTATGTGCTTTCAACTATAGCTCTTATTGGATCCTCAAAATTGGAAATTAACAAATCAGGAGGAATTTCTATATCAGCTAATCCATCGTTAGGTTCACATATTTTACCGTCGCCAACATTTAATATCCATTTAGAGAATTCTGCAAGTTCATCAGAAGTTGTAACGTCCCTCCCATTCTGTAGTCTCATGTTTTTGGTTAGTGTTAAGACTTGGCAATAGTCCCACACATAAGAAGAACAAATGGAAGCATGAACAATATCAGAACGGCCTGCTCTTGGAACAACTGGAAGTATCTGTCGAAAATCTCCTCCAAATATAACTACCTTGCCACCAAAAATTGTATTTGCAAAACCCTTATCGCTCATGACATCCTTAAGGGTCTTATCCAAGGCCTCAAAACAATTCTTATGAGCCATGGGTGCTTCGTCCCATATTATGACATCAGTAGCTTCGAATAACTGTGAATGCTCAGAGTCTTTGTCAACATTGCAAGTAGAGTTGTCAAGCGTTGGAATGGGAATTTTGAACTTCGAATGGGCTGTTCTACCACCTGGCAATAATAAGGAAGCTATGCCACTTGAAGCAACAGCCAGAACAATTTTTTTATCTGAACGAAGTGCACTTGATAATGTCCTCCACATAAACGTTTTACCGGTTCCGCCGTATCCATGTAAAAAAAACACGCCTCCGTTTTGTTTCTTGACGGCGTCCATTATGGTTTCAAAGATTGCACCTTGCTCATCTTGACGTTCAAATGAAAAGAATCAATACAACAGTAGTTTAATGAAAACATTGATATTTGAATAATGAGGAAATACCTGTTAAAGATGAAAATAGATTCTGGAAGTTTTGTCGCTCTGAATCAGCATCGTAATCACGTTCATCAAAAATCAGTCTATTGCCGACATGTCGCGTTATATACAAATCTGGAAACGACATATCTTTGAATTCACGCAAGCTTCTTCTATTTGATTGCATCATATTCTCAATCTCAATTAATGTGAGGTTTGTCAGTTCTGCCGTTGACAATTGCATGTCTTCCAACACAAATACAAACCAAAAGAAAATATAACTATTTTGTACAATAGAAATCACAGTGTTGATGAAGATAGACATGCAAAAGGATCGTTAACCTTACAATGGCAGTATCATGGAAAAGTTCAGTATAATGCAAGAGCATCAGACATTCGGGTTCATTAAAAATGTTATGTTTTTGATCAGTAGCTGTGACAAAAGGTGGTTGAAGGTAAAAGATAAATCACAGAATTATTCTGTTCTGTGTTGATGGGGAGTAATAACAGATTGCATTATATATTTTTATTACTGATGAAATGGCAGCATTGAAAGGACTTGCTTACTGGAACTTATGATTCTTTGAAAGGGCAGCATTGAAAGGGGTTGTTGAAAGGTGCTGTATGAAATGTAACATATATATGGAAGTATAAAGGGATTGAAATTATTGCATCCAAAGTAGTCTAAAAGGTATTATAAGAAGAAAAACTCATTATAATAGTTTCGTACGGTTTGTAATTGTATGAAATTTAACAGAAGTATTTAGGTATTTGTTAAGTGTACCTCTTATTCCAGTGACAATTCTCTGTTGATGAAGAATACCGTCAGATAGCAACTTCCAAGTCTGTTGCCAAACATGTCGCGGCCGATTAACAGTACCAGACAACATCATCGTGACAAATAGTTTCCTCAAAAAATTACCGGAACCCCAATCTTTGGCCTCATTTATGGCTGCAACATATTCTTTGTCGTCGTTAAGAAATCCCATCTCAAAGCATGCATCTCTAAAACTGTCGCGGACGACTCCACCAACCTTTTTTATATCGTCATAGCAAGTAGGTCCCTTGACAACCGTCAACATCATTCTAAGATAATAGAGCTCACCAGTGCTTGGAGGAACCCAAATTAACTGGCCAATCGTACGACCTCTTTTTCGAGGTCTCCATAAACGGTACCTTTTATCATAAACGAACTTGGAAAGAAAGGTAGTGTATGTTAAAGTCTTTGCATCTTCGTATTTTTTGTTTGACTCCATCCAAGCTGTAAACATTGATTCCTTTACAGTTGGTTTTTCAAGAACATTGTCTATGAAATCATAGTCAGTGTAGTAAACCGGATTTTCGCCTTCCAGATGAAAATACAACCTTTCGACAGAAGGAGATCTACCATGGATAGGATATGAAAAAATCCTCCAACACGCCTCACTGGGGGAAACGTACCTGCAATCAAGGTACTGTTTGATTTCATCAACATCTGTACCAAATGAACTTCCGTCTGATTCGGTCCGAACAACCGCTGCAGTTATTCTATCGTAACCTTTGTTAATATACTTGAATAAGTACTTGACAGAAGTACCTTGGTTACACCATTCCATATTAATGTGCGCCTGATATTTCTTTAGAAGATATGCATTATAAGGAACTACATACCTATTATCAAGAACAATACTTTTTTTCAGAACAGTAATGCCAGTATCCCTTCTCCTATAGACGGGATAGCCATCTTGATCGACAATGGTTTGAGGCTGCCAATTTTTGGGAAAGAATTTAGAGCATTTACCATTTTTCATGCAAGGGGAAGATCTGTTAGCCAACCCACATGGACCATGAATCATATGTGTCTTTACCAAATGATTTAATTGTTTATCATCCGTTTCTGCCGGTATTTCTGCTGAAATAATGTTGTTGATGTCATCCGGAGTGGGAAACTTGTTCTGGGGATGCATGAAAAGTAAAATGTGTGCATGGGGCAAACCTCTCTTTTGGAACTCAATGGTGTATATATCTAGAAGAAATTAAAATACAGTAAAACATTAATTTAAAATCATTGGTATAGAATAGGAAAGAATTAAGTATTAGATATTTAATTTCATGTGGCTCACATGCAACAACTCTGCCCAAGACATGCTTCTTTGTTATATCATACAGTAATTCGTCAAACTTCATTTTAAAAACCCTTGAGATTATATCAGGACGATCTTGAGGTTGTAAATTCATGTTGTTAAGAAACCTCTGAATCTTAGGCCAACATGGATTGCAAGTAAAGGTAATGAATAGATCGGGAAATCCAATTTGACTACAAATTGCCATTCCATCAAAGTATAATTGTTCCATGTATCTGCGACTTCCAACGTATGTTGACGGCAACACCACTCTTTTGCCTTTGTGGGCTCCTTCATTTGAAGATTGTTGGTGTACTCCTGACAAATTGGAGTATTTGGATACTCGTAATTTTTTTTGATGCTTACGTATGTAATTGAGTCGCTGTGACTCCATCATAGTGAATCCGTCAACCAAAAATTGCTGAAACAATCTCCTTGACCTGAGCAGTGTATGAGCTTCACGTTGTCTGGTCTGAATGCGAAAGGCCAACCATTCTCTAATAGTAAGTTTGTTCATCTTTCCTTTTTTTTGGGGAACTGTCTCTCTGTGTAGAACACCAAGTCTAAATCCATCTTCCCCGTACGGAAACAGAAGTGGATATTGTAATGCAAGATAGCTCGGATGAAACTCACTTATTCGTTTTAGTCTACCGCTTTGTCTTTCAAGGATAATATCCCTTTTTGAGCCTGTATCAACATCGCCAACAATGAGGGCTGCAACCTCAGACACGGTGGGTTGGTTGTAAATTCGTCCGTCCTTTAATCTATCAGATATTAACTTCAACTTGAGGTCAGGTACAGGACAATCCTTTAGTCTAGCTGATGCCATTCTAAAACATTTAGCATGTGTGTTGAATTCGTCAAGCATGTTCTGTATTCGGCTAACAGTTTCTTCAATAATATTCTGGTTGTTGCTGCATTAAAAAATTAGACACATGTCATGCACGATAATAACAAAGGAAATATAAAGTATGCATCTCAGTTGGCTTAAGAAACATAACCCTATTCCTTGCATCCTATGATGAATCTCATTGTCAGTGTCGTATATATAAAGCTGAGCGAATTTCGGTTTTTCGCCATGCACAGGCATCATGCTACCAATTCTATGGCAAGCCTGCCCTTGAATTCTCATGTTAGGTGGTCCGTTTCCATTATTGAATCTATTGTCAATTTTCATTCCAGGAGACGTAAATGCAAACATTATGTTGTACATTCTGCAATTCTGCTGATAATTTCTACATAGTTCATCGTTTTCATTCGACAGAAGATGTTTAAGAAACGGTGGGGGTGTTCTCAGAAGTGGCAACACAACTTTACCCTTTCCACAACATAATTGGAACTTAGGCACTGCACTATGTTTTCTCTTGACAACCTTCTCCTGATACCACATTTGTGCTCCACACTGAGTGCATTCAATGGAAGGATCACCAATATCTGAATATCATGTATTTATCAGATAGAACAAAACATCATATATCTTATACACATCAGTATATTGAAAGACACCAAACTGGATGACAGTGAATTTAAGTTATGGCTTGCTATTAATAAAAATTCCAGCAATACATACCAGCATTTGTGCAATCAATTGTTGGGACATTTGCAGATTGATCTTCGTCGTTGTCCAGACTTGAACTTGTATCATAATCCCGATCTTCATTTATGAATTCACACGAACTATCGGTTAAAGATTCATCGGATGAATAGTCTGCAACTGATTGTTGAACTGGGTTCACTGAGACAGCACTTCTGAACAGATTGGTATTAAGGGAAGTTGACGTCGTTTCTGTAACACTTGAAAAGGTTTTTAATAGATTCGCAGTCGTAGAACGAATTAGATTTGGATCAAGATGTTTGTTGGATGAAGATGCATAGGAATTTGGTAGTCCATATGAATTATTTTTGCATTTAATACTTGATGAGGAGGTAACTCCACTCAGAGGTGTGTTAGCATCAAACGGTAAAGGGGAACAAAAGGGCATTCTATCAGAGAGTTTGATCTGCAGATGACCACGATGGCTGTTGTTTTGGAGACTCTTACGCTTCATTATTGACCTCCTTCTTTGACGTGCTGAAGCAGAAATTTGTTTGGGAGAAATTGTATCAGTAGAAATGCATGAGAAGCTGGGGGAAGATGCAGGTGTTAGGGTTGTGCAATGGTTAAAACCAACACTCCTTCTCCTTTGTTGGGAATTAAGCATTAGGCACTCTGTTCGTGCAGAAACATCTCCATGGCCATTGACAAAAACAGAACTGATATCAGACAGTGGCTGTCTTGTATGATGTCTGCTTACATAACTTGAATTATTTAGGACATGGTTGGGCTCAGTTGAATTTTCATTAACTCTATTCTTCTGATATCTTCTTTCATCAAGAACATGCTTCCTCTTTTGTCTTGCAAGTGATGCAGAGTATTTCCTATCTACAAAATGGTTGTTCATAGTTGAAAGAGAATATGGTTGATAACTTACAACTCTTCAAAAGTATAACATAATGAATGTAAGAGTAACAAACCTATATGGAATTGTTTGGTTTTGCAGTTCATAACATTTGTATTATAATTTTTAAGTGTACTCAGATACTCTATTTGTACATTGGATATGAGATAGGGAACAGTATATGCTACCAAAGCTTAACAATTATGGGTAGATGTACAAAAATTTAATGTCACATGAATACCATATGTTGGCCAGACTTTAAACAATTATTAGAACACCAAATATTATAATATGACATTAAATACTGTTATGTTGGAAACACAAAATTGCCATTGGAAACCAAAGGTTATTCCTATTGTATTCTATACCATATTCATTTTTTTTTTGTAACATGTAACCATGGTTTGATGTAAATGGGAAAAATTAAAAGTACTTCCAAAAATATACATTTTCCAAGGGATATAAAATGGAATGATCAGAAACTGTTTGTATTCTACATGTCATGTATAGTGCCTTTTGAAACCAATGCTTGCTTGCTTGGCCAACAAAAGATATTTCCTAACGTCTGTTTTACTCCATCTCCCTGTCTCTTCGGTTTTCCATTACAAACAACATTCCAAGAAGACGGTACACCGTAAAAACAGAGTTTAGCTCCAGACAGCGCCGACCAACCTATACGATGAACAAAGAGGATCTACGTTGGTGTTCTCGCGGGTAAGTTCTTCCGTTTTGACACACATGTTTCTAAACTTGCAATGAGGTCATTTAGGGTTTATACAAAGATGTCTGTGTGCATGATGGGCATGGATGAATTTATATGCAGGGGATTCGTAGGTAGCAGTGTTTCAACCACGACTCGTAATCTTAAATGGAAAAATCTGGCTATCCAAAAGGTTTGGAAGCAATCTGAGGATAAGCGGGACATAGCAGAAGAATGGAGAAAGTTGCATGCAGAGGCTAAGAGGAGGAAAGAGGAAGCTGAAAGTTCTTCAAGGTAAAACAGTAGTCTGGATAGTGATAAAAACAAAAAACCGAATGCATGATGTTTGTTGTTTTTTTGATTAAGCAGCAGGAGTTGCCAAAAAATTACACGTGCTGAACTTATGGACAAATACTATGAGTATGTCGAAAGAGATGAATCGTACGAACTCAGAACAGGAAAGGTGAGAAGCTGTCTATCATGGGAAAAGTACTTTGAAATAGCCAGAGAGGAGGGATGGCTTACTGACATATCAGACGATGAGCCTGAACAGAATTCCACTGATGAAGCAATGGAATCAGCGGGCGATGTGTTGGACAGGCAAGGGCTTTTAGGTTACATATATACATTTGAATATTTGACTTTGCAAATTAGTAGTTGAAATAATCGTGTTTGTTAATGCAGCGAGGAGAACAACACTACTGATGCTGCTGATGATGTTCAACCTCCTGCCATGCAAGAGAAACTTGTTTGCAGATGGCAGAAAGTTGTTAAGAGCAGCAGCCAGATAAAAAATCAAGTTCTTGTAAGCTATTGAATTGTTTGCTGTTACAGTTCGTAAGGATGCATAACATTGAATGAATAGTCATAGCTAATAAAGTTTTAATGTTGCAGCACTTTCCAGCAGCAGTCATCAAGGAAATCTTCATGGAACCAAGATCATATATTGATCTTCATGACACAGACTCGGGTATTACGTACCAATGTGTTTTCAAATCCAGGGAGAACATGACGGAGAAGTTTCTGTCAAGGGGCTGGTTAAAATTTGCAAAGGAGAAAGAGCTGTCGAAAGGTGACGTTCTCTTATTCAGTGTAGAGCATCCTCCTGTGGAACGTATATTGGTCAAAGTTGAGAGAGGGCAGCATTGAAAGGAGTTGTTGATTGGATTACATGGGAAGCATCATGGCAAAAAGGAGGGATTATTTTTGTATGGGCGGAAATGCATAACTATTTGTTTTGAAAATCTATTTGATGCCCATTTGTCTTTGTTATTAATTTTGTTATATGATATTGTTGAGCTACGGCTCAGTACAATTTGCTTATGATATGTTAAATGGAATGATATGAAATTAGTTCGATATATTGCGTTGATAACATAATTGCATATCGTTTCCGGTATTATCCGTTAACAATTTATACTAATCAAGTGTCATGGATTTCTGCCATGCATAATCTGTTATTCAAGTTGGATTTTTATATATTAATGTACAGTATGCTTATATTCTACCGTGAATTATGCATAAAGTATGCAAAACAAAATAACATATTTTCTAATGTCAGTAATGCATTGTAGTGAGAAGATAATGTTTTCATACTTTAACATTGTTAATTATATAATGTCATTAATAATCACTGTCAAAATTATGTAGTATTAGTTATGATTTGGTGGTAGCAACAAAGAGAAATGGGATATGATAGCTTCTTTGTGCTCTAACATTCTTGCCAATACATTATCCTCATTCTGTTCGGGATTGTAATCTCTAATAAAAAAGATAGCTCCATGAGCAAAAGCCACTGTCATAATAAATCCTGCAATGTATTGATGATGAGTATATAACGCAGCTTGAGTAGTAAAGTCTTGTGCTATAAACGCATAAGCAGGTAAAGAGTGTTTTAGTAGGGATAACAGAAAAATAGTGAAACATAACCCACATATGCCATTAACATTAACTGATGCTGTTATATTCAAAATCTGTGTATGCATATACAGGTTCAAAAACTATTGGTTACATGTTGTTAAGAAGACGCCACAGTCAAATATTTTGGAAAACCTCCTTGTAAATGATGTTTGTTGTAGGCCAAGGAGATTGGGAAGGGGACATATTCATTCTTGGAACATCATATTGCTTTTTGTACTGTAAATTATGCATAGTTTTTTGCAGCTTAAATGACCAAAATCATATCAGTCTTTCATATACAATGTCAAAAGGATCAAACAAAAAGCAAGAATGACAAATCAAATCCTCATAAACCAGAATATTAAACAAAATAAGGAATTACCAACATCATATTGCTTTTTGTACTGTAAATTATGCATAGTTTTTTGCAGCTTAAATGACTAAAATCATATCAGTATTTCATATACAATGTCAAAAGGATCAAACAAAAAGCAAGAATGACAAATCAAATCCTCATAAACCAGAATAAACAAAATATAAACCAGAAATATTTCATTACATCAATCAAAATTAGGTGTGCAATGTTGTCCAAAACAGCATAAAGTAATAATAAATCGTCGACGATAATTGACTGCATCATTTCTCCAGCTTGATGTCCCTTATTATCTTGGTGGACGATAGTTGGGCACTGTCGAGTTCTTCAACTGTCTCAGGAATAGATCTTTTTGACGGTGTAAGTGCAGAGTTGGCAACTGAAGGGTCATAATCTGCAGTGATTGATATATGATCCTGCCATTAAAGAGTTATTACAAAATCAGTAGCATAAAAATGGAAGTAAGACATTGTTTAATAGGCTAATTTGTTAATGTTGAAAGCTAAAAAAAGACGCACTGAAACTGTTTGTGGATCAGCATGAGACTGTTTTTCCGAGGTGCTGATGGTCGGAGTACACTGCAAGTTAAAAAACGTAAGAAATAAACGTTAGACAATTGTTCCAAATGTGATGGCAAGAGTAATAGGTCATTCCTATTTAAAACATACCGATGTTGTATGCATATCATTCAGAGTGTCATCCGTTGAGACGACAATCTTAGAAGTGTGCTACAAGTTTTAAACAATTATTAAAAAAAATCCAATGCACATGATACTGGTTTTTGACACGTTTTACACTTAACTTCCACCAGTGGAGGTTACCTTATAAATCTGCTAAAAATATTTTTTGTCAGTTTTTGCACTGATCTTCCACCAGTGGAAGTTACCTTTAAATTTGTCTTACACCTAGATTACACTATACTTCCACCAGTGGAAGTTATATTGAAAAATTGGTTTTTTGGTTTTTGACACGTTTTACACTTAACTTCCACCAGTGGAGGTTACCTTAAAAATCAGCTAAAAATATTTTTTGTCAGTTATTGCACTGATCTTCCACCAGTGGAAGTTACCTTTAAATTTGTCTTACACCTAGATTACACTATACTTCCACCAGTGGAAGTTGTATTGAAAAATTGGTTTTCTGGTTTTTGACACGTTTTACACTTAACTTCCACCAGTGGAGGTTACCTTAAAAATCAGCTAAAAATATTTTTTGTCAGTTTTTGCACTGATCTTCCACCAGTGGAAGTTACCTTTAAATTTGTCTTACACCTAGATTACACTATACTTCCACCAGTGGAAGTTGTATTGAAAAATTGGTTTTCTGGTTTTTGACACGTTTTACACTTAACTTCCACCAGTGGAGGTTACCTTAAAAATCTGCTAAAACCTGGTTTTATCAGTTTTTACACTTAACTTCCACCAGTGGAGGTTACCTTAATGCACATGATACTGTTTTTAACAACAGTAAAACATTAGTACAGCAGTACCTCTACCTCTTCACATTTAAACATGTCCTTTATTTTGGTACGTAGCACTTCATCTGCCTTAAATCCGATTACAGAAAGACTGGCCTTGTTTGGTTGAAACACTGCTCTTATAGCCAACTCCTTCTTCAGCATCACATCAAGTTCATAAGGGAATTCAAGGGGATCAAAATCTCCAGTCTAAATGATTAAAACAATATATGTTAGTTACGTGGAAATTATCTATCTTACATATTAGACAAATGGAAAATACCTCCATCAAATCCAACTTCATCTGAAGGGCGGACTTCCCAATCAACTTTACACAATCTACATCCCAAAATACGAACTTGTATTTTAACTTTCCATCGGAGGCAAGCACTTCAAGCTTAAACCTGTACCATGAAAGGTAAAAATAAGAAATTGTCAGTAATGAAGCGCTTGGTTATATGATGATAATCATTGATATGCAATACTTAGAAGTTACCTTGGGACTGGCTCAGAACTGATGTGTTTGGAATAACACATGAATTTTCCATCCTTCAAAGTCACACTTTTGGTACATTCACTACATCCATCATAATACCATCCTGACTGCCCACATTCAAACTTCTCCAGAGTTGCAACAGTCACACATGTAGTTTCCTGAAATAGAAAGATGGGATTATGTCTCAAAAAATGGATTAGAACCCAATCTGTGTAATTCCTCAATCTAAGACAGTCATGTATTAAAGAGCAACGTACTGTCTGCAGATATGCAATATCAGACAGACTCAACACTTCAGCTTTCCATACAAATTTGTCCAAATCATAAAAAACAGAGGTATTTGTGGTTTCCATTTTCATGCTTGAGGATGAGAGCGTCGGCAGATCATCTTTAAGTCTGATGATCATAGATCAGAATGAAAACAGGCTGTTAGAAATCATAGGTTGCTAATTCATAACTTCAGAATAAAATCACTTACTTCTCTTTAAGGTTTTTAACCTCCTCAATAGACAAATCATTGATGAGCAGTTTTGTGCCGTTCCAAGCATTTGATACATTTAAAGGATAATTTCCTGAAAATTGAGATATTTATAAATGACAACACTTAAAGTTGGATATAATAATTGGATGTAATAAGAAATAGTCACATAGCAAACCTTGAGGTTCCTTGATCCTTGCATTCATAAGTAGGAGAACAATACTACCATCAGCCTTATGAGTCGTATAATACTCATTCAGTTGCACAGCTAATTTACCCCAAAGAGTACATTGCACATGATGTTTGCTGATTCACAGGAATTTCAAAACAAACAACATGAACATGTTAAACTTTTATATTTGTCAGCATCAATGTTAACAAACAAAATGAAACACCTACCTCAGATCAGTTAATGAAAACACAACCTTGCTTTTGTTGTTATCAGGAATTATCTGGGCTTGGGATATTTCAGTAACCCCACCAATTATATCTGCACAAAAGTTCACCACAGACAATTATGGATAACAGAAAAGTAACAATACAATGCGTTCTATTATAACAGTAAAAAGGTAACTCACCATATAACAAATTCGTTCTGTATTTACCCTCAATAATAGCATTTATTCCAATTAACTTGAGATGGTTCAGAGGTATCTCAGAAAGTTGGACCTTCTTGACGGAAGTTGAACCACAGAAAATCAATTTGAACTTATGATCAGTGGATTTGAAGGAGAAATCATTGCTGGAAACTTTGAAATTCTGCATTACGTAGGAACAACCAACTTCAAGCTGTGTTTTGAATTTTGATACCAAATAAGATGGCACAATGGCTGGAAAAAAATCCAACTGTGAAAATACAAACCTGCATTATGTAGGAACAACCAACTTCAACCTGTGTTTTGAATTTTGATACCAAATAAGATGGCACAATGGCTTGAATCAAATCCAACTGTGAAAATACAAACATCTTGAAATCAGTATCATATAACAGTACAGTTACAACAAAATCAGAATGCCAAAGCAGAAAAGTTTAGATTGTATTATACCTTTGAATCAAACAGAATAAGCTCTAAGTGCTCTCTATTCTGAGAACTGGTAACAGACCACATACGCCACAGTCAAATATTTTGGAAAACCTCCTTGTAAATGATGTTTGTTGTAGGCCAAGGAGATTGGGAAGGGGACATATTCATTCTTGGAACATCATATTGCTTTTTGTACTGTAAATTATGCATAGTTTTTTGCAGCTTAAATGACCAAAATCATATCAGTCTTTCATATACAATGTCAAAAGGATCAAACAAAAAGCAAGAATGACAAATCAAATCCTCATAAACCAGAATATTAAACAAAATAAGGAATTACCAACATCATATTGCTTTTTGTACTGTAAATTATGCATAGTTTTTTGCAGCTTAAATGACTAAAATCATATCAGTATTTCATA